TGTCTCTCCTTCTCTCTGTATATCTGCCTTTCCAATAAAAATAAATAAATTTTTTTTAAAAAATCTTTAAAAATAAAAAAGTGAACCAGTGCATAAAGGATTTCTCTCTTTAACTCTGAATTTCCAATAAGTAAATCTTTTTTTAATGTGTTTCTTTCCTTCTCTTTATCCTTTGTGTTCGCTTCCCAAATGCTGTAACAGCAGAACCGGAACTCCCATCTGGGTCTCCTGGCTAGGTGGTGGGGCCCAAGCCCTTGAGCTGTCACCTGCTGTTTCCCCGGATGTGAAGTAGCAGGCAGCTGGGGGACACAGAGCTGTGGTTGGACCCCAGGTATTCGGAACAGGACCCAGCTGTCCTAAGCACCAGCTTCATCTGCTCTGGCACAGCTCCTGCCTGGACTTGTACCTTAAGTATCCGCTTGCCCATCTAAGAAAAACGAAACTCACATGCTCCCTATGTGTGCCTGGCTGCAGGTAACATGTACGTGACTGGGAGGGAAACTCAAGACAGAATAGAAGGCACTGCAGCCTGACCTCAGATTGCGGCTGGAGTCACTGCAGTTCTGCATTTACATCAAGGTTTAACACAACAGGGATAGAAAGCTGACAATAATCCTTTTTTCTTTTAAATTTTAAAAAGATTTTTTTTATTGGGAGGTCAGACATTCAGAGAGGAGAGACACAGAGGAAGATCTCCCATCTGCTGATTCACTCTCCAAGTGGCTACAATACCAGAGCTGAGCCAATCCAAAGCCAGGAGTCAGAAGCCTCTTCCAGGTCTCCCATGCGGGTGCAGGGTCTCAAGGCTTTGGGCTCTCCTCAAATGCTTTCCCAGGTCACAAGCAGGGAGCTGGATGGGAAGTGGTGGTGCAAGGATTAGAACTGACACCCATATGGGATCCCGAGGTGTTCAAGGTGAGGACTTTAGTCACTATGCTACCGTGCCGAGCCTGGAAAAGCAGATTTTAAAAGAAAGAGATAGAGAAGGTCTTTCATTCACTGGTTCACTCATCAAATGGCAGCAGTGGTGAGAGCTGAGCTGGTCCAAAGCCAAGAGCCAGGAGCTTCTTCCAGGACTCCCCCATGGGTATAGGGCCCCAAGGACTTGTGCCATGGTCTACTGCTTCCTCAGGTACAAGCAGCGAGCTGGATTGGGGGGAAGTGGAGCAGCTGGGACATGGACTGGCACCCATATGGTATGCCAGCGTTACAGGGGGAGGATTAGCCTGTAATGCCACCACACCAACCCCTTAATAATCTGACCTAGGAGCTGCAACTGGGCATTCACAACTGGCTTGGATACTTTGGACAAATCACTTAGTTTGCTAAATGCTGAATTAAAAAAATACGATAGCAGTGAGAGCTTGCCTGGTAGTTAAAATGCTTGGATCCTACATTGGAAATACCTGGGTATCAGAAACCCAGCATCATAAACCCACCTGCCCGGGACCTAACTATCCCCAGCCTGCTGTAGCAACTACAGGGAGAGATACCTGTCTCTCTCTCTCTCTCTCCGGAAAGGGGCAAGGAGTAGGTGGCTGAGCATGGTGGGTCAGCTGGCTAATCCTCCACGTGCTAGTGCTGGGATCCCATATGGCACCAGTTCTAATCCCAGCACTTCCTTTCCCTTCCAGCTCCCTGCTTGTGACCTGGGAAAACAGTAGAGGACGGCCCAAAGCCTTGGGACCCTGCACCCGCGTGGGAGACCCAGAGGAAGCTCCTGGCTCCTGGCTTTGGATCAGCTCCCCTCCGGCCCTTGTTGGGAATGAACCAGTGGATGGGGAATCTTTTGACTCTCCTCTCTGTAAATCCACCTTTCAGATACATATTCCCATACGTATGATAAATGCCAGAAGGCGCACAATGGGTAGCTGACAAACACTTGGCCCTCCACTCCACACGCTCTTGTCACGTTGGCCATATTCCATCGTCAGGGAGCAGGGAGAGCAAGCTGTGGGGACGCATCCACAGGACCGGTTCGGGGCGGAGTGCCGGGCCACTGACATGAGGGCAGGGGACGCCGTCGGCAGCACAGAGCTGAGGGCGACCCTAGGCAAAGGAGGACGTTTCACGTTCAGGTAGTCTCGCTTCGGTCGGGAACACAAAATGCACTTTTCGGCTCCATCCCGACACCGCTACCGGAGCGTCTGAAGAGACTGAAACTCAAAGGCGAATCCTGGGGTCTTCACGACGGACCCGAGTCCCGGAAGGCCAACGTTTGTTTCTGGTTCCTTCAGTCTCCCTGCGCACCCAGGGCAACAGGCGACAGCGACAGCCGAGGTAGAAGAGCCCAGGTACGAGTAGGTCGAATACCAAAACTACCGCCATTTCCTCCGCGCGCACGCAAAGACTACCGATCCCACAGTGCAGCGCGGCGTCTAGCCAATGGGCCGCGCCAAGGCCGGCGGGGCCGCGCCGCGCACTGCAAACTACAAGTCCCAGCGGGCGCCGCGGGGCCGCATCCCCGGAGAAGCGGGTCGCGCGCCCCAGGATTCTCTGCGGGGCAAGATGGCAGCCCCGGGGGCGGAGGCGGAGGTGAGCCAGCCCTAGGCCGCCGCGCCTCCCCGCCGGCGCTCCTTCGGGGGGCCCCGCGGGCCTGGTCAGCCACTACCCCAGGGCTTTCCGCCGGTCACGGGGACGTGCGGGTAGCGCCCGTGCCCTCGCTGGCAGCCCTGCTCGTGGCCGCCCGGCCTTGGAAGCTCCGGGAGCGAAGGCTGCGGCGTGCGCTCGGAGCGAGGCGCGAGGCCGGGGGGGCGGGCTGCTGGTGTTCCCACGGGGACGACCCTGAGCGCTCCATGCCTGCGGGCGCGGGGACGCGTGGCCTCCCCCAGGCCCGCCGCCTGTGCTGGCTGCTCTGCGCCATCACTTTCAAGCTCTGGTAAGGAGGCCCGGGCGGCCGCTCGTCCTCGCACGGCGCGGGCGGGGCGTGCGCTGCTGGCAGGCAGCCTCCTTCTGACTTTGGCCCCTTCTCTCCCCTCCCGCGCCCGCGGCAGCCAAGCCGAGGCTTCTGTGTCCGAGGACAGGCTGTCAGGTGGGTGCTCAGGAACCCTCAGCCCTCGTCGGGCGGGCGGGCGGGCGCATTTTCCCGCAGACCGAGAGCACAGGTGGGAAGGGGCGCGCCCCAGGGGCGGAGCCTGGGGGAGACACGAATGGAGTCTGGGGCCACCGGCGTTTGTTCTTTTGTTAGTGAGCGCCTCCAATTTGCCGTGCTGGCTGGTGGAAGAGTTTGTGGTGGCCGAAGAGTGCAGCGCGTGTTCTACCTTCCAGACAGTGAGTGTGGCTTTTCTCGGTGTTGCCCAGCCTTGCTCCGGCAGTCTTGCTTCTCGCGGCCTCACTGTGTGTCCCTATCGCCACTTGTTTTCCGCTAAAAAATCGCACCCCTTCTCCGAGCCAGCGGGCCGCAGCTGCTGACCGCTTTCTGATCTGTAGTGATGCACGCTGCCTTAATCTACTGGTTTGTCTCTTTTCTGTTTCTGCAGCTGCCGCTGCTGCCAGAACCCCCCCCATCAGAGCTCCTGTCACGGCTGGGCCCCAGCACGGGGGCTCCTGGCCCTCTGGGGTGGCAACCTGCTCCTCCTGCAGCACCCTCCCTCACATGCCTGCTTGGTCCTTCTGTCCCCACAGAAAACCATCCCTGAGTGTGGTTCCACGGGGTACGTGGAGAAGATCACGTGCAGTTCATCTGCAAGGAATGAGTTCAAAAGGTGAGTGCCGTGTGGCCCGAGACCACCTGCTCTGAGCCTGTGACTGCAGTTCCTCCCTGTTTTAAATTTTTTTAAAGATGTATTTATTTTTATGGGAAACACAGATTTACTAAGAAGAGACACGATCATCTTTCATCCTGTTATTTCACTCCTAGCCTCACTGGCTGGTGCTGAGCTGATCCAAAGCCAGGATCCTCTTCTGGGTCTCCCATGTAGGTGCAGGGTCCCAAGGCTTTGGGGCATCCTCGACTGCTTTCCCAGGCCACCAGCAGGGAGCTGGATGGGAAGCGGTGCAGCGGGGACACGATCCCTTGCCTGTTTGGGATGTTGGCCCTTCAAAGAGGATGATTAGCCTGTTGAGCCATCGCGCTGGCCCCACAAGGAGGGGATTTAGTACTAAAGTCCCTGCTCTTCTGATTAGCCCTATGAGTGGCCATGGGTTATCTTCAGTAGAATCCCTGGCTGCTAGGGCTGCTTATCCCACATGACACTGACCAAATTAGTGGGCTGATTGCCCCGCCCCCCAATGTCCAGTGCCAAGGCTGGTTGGGGGACAAGCTTTGTGGCCTCTCCTGGGGATAACCCCTCCCTGCCGCCCACAGCTGCCGCTCCGCTGTGATGGAACAGCGCTTGTTCTGGAAGTTCGAAGGGGCCGTCTTGGGTGTGGCCTTGGTCTTTGCCTGCCTCGTTGTCCTCCGTCAGCGACAGCTGGACAGAAAGGCTCTGGAGAAGGTGCGGAAGCAGATCGAGTCCATCTGAGGACGCTGCAGCCGCCCACACACCCCGGCTCAGTCTAGGCACAGCGGACTCATCGGGTCTGGGGGGCCCTGTGGTGATGCCCTGCCCCATTTTCCTTTTCTAGATCTTTAATGGGCAGAATAAAAAGAGTGTAAAATAGTTTTGTTCCTCACTGTCACTGGATTTGGGGCAGTCCTGAGGGTGGAAGGGGAAGGGGTGACAACCTTAGTTCCTTGTCTACCAGTAACCCATCTTCTCTTTTGAAATTGACTGAAAACTTCTGGGATACAGTTTTCTGCTTAAAAGTTTATTTCTGAGTCAGCACTTCTGATGCCCCTCCACCCTATCCCCAAAGAAGAAATAAAAACATGGATGTATTGGGAAAGCATTCGCAGTGCCCTCTCTGGAAGCAGACCTCTCCTGTGTGTTCTAAGGGGACCTTCCCACCCCAGAACCCCAGGGCAAAGCCACCAGGCAATGGAAGCAGCCTGTGGTGGGGAGCTCTGGGCGCCCTGTGGTGTACGGCAGGCAGTTGGGCCAGGAGGGTCCCGCCCTCGCTCACATCTCATCTGCGTGCAGCACAGCAGTGAGGCGCCCACTGGCTCCTGGCCTCCCTCGTGTCTTCTCAAGCAGTGTCCTTGCTGAGCCATTGACACGCTTGGCTCCAGGTGGCTCCTGGAGTCTGGCCTCGGCCACTGGGGTCTCCAGATTGTCTGCAGTGTCCTTGTGGGTCAGGATATTTCTGGAAATCACTGCAAAGGAGACAAAAGGAAAAAAGAGTAGCCCCTCTGGGTGGGTAAGGGGGCCCTGGAAAGACAGAACCGTCCTCCTGTTGCCTGACGATCTTCCGGAGCAGAGCTGCCGACCACCGCCACTGGGGGGCTCTCCCTGCCTTTGCCACTCACCTCCATGAGCCTGGTAGTCCTCGGGCCCAACTTGCGGTAAGCCTTGGAAGGGGCTGAAGCTGGGCAAGATGATGAGAACCAGGGAAAAAAGAAGGATCTGGAAGGAAATAAAAGGATGATTGCAAGGAAGGCAGCTAGGGTCGCAGGGATTATGGGGCCGCAGGGGGTATTGGCATGAGGTGTGGTGGGAGAGGGGAAGAGGACAGAAGGTACCAGAACACAGGTGCTGGTCTGGGCAGCCTTGGTGGAGGTCTGAGCAATGAGCGACTGCAGCTGGCGGAGCTGAGCCACGAGGGAGCTGGGGAAGGAGGAAGGCCAGTTAGCCACTTGTGGGAGCAGAGCCCAGAAGGGCACCCTGTGTGTCGAGGTGCCTGTGGACATAAGGTGCTGCGACTCACATGTTGTGTCTCTCCAGCTCCTGGACTTTTTTCTGTAGCTCCTGGTTCTGTGCAGAACAGGCTGCCACCCTGCGGATTGGCAGAGGTAGGAGCAGGCCTGGCAGTCAGAGGAGGAAGGCCCCCGGGAGCCCGAGCTGGCAGCCCAGACGCACCTGCTCTCCAACCCATCGATGTACTCTTTCTTCCGCCGCCGGCTGTCCTGAGCCGACTGCTTGTTCCGGATTTTCCTCCTGACTTTCTTGAGGACCCTTTCCTCTGCCTAAGAGGGATGCAGGGGGTGTCAGTCCAGGCCCTGAACCTCCTCGCAAGTTCCAGCTCTTCCCTGGGGGCTGCATTGCTTAGTGGAAGCATGTTACCTTGGTGAGTGGCAGGTGCGAGGGCAGAGAAACCCCTTCCTGCCCCAGCAGGCGCTTCTCCTCGTCTGTCAGGAACAACGGCTGACGTGACAGCTGGGAGAATGAGAATGGGAGTCAGCCCAGCACCCAGGCCTCTCACCTGCACGCCTTCTGAGTTGTGTTTTCCTGTGTGCATCGGGGACTGCGTCAAGCCAGAGGTGAAGGCAAAAGCAGAAAACTTAATTCACATCAGCTCTGAAGGAGCCAGAGGCTGAGAAGGGCCAGAGGAGGTGGCGCCCCCAGACAGCGTGACAGCGCCATGGCATTCTGGACCAGCTAGCAAGGGCTTGTTCGGGGCCATCTCTCCCCAAGCCTTAGGGCAACTGAAGAGGCCTTAGCAAACATCCAGGAACTGAGGAAGCGCTGCAGAAGAACAATTCACTTTAGCCATCAACTTTCACTCACAGTGCAACTGGGCTGCCTGTGACCCTCAGGGAGTCCCTGGGGGGCAGTAGCCCCCTCCACCCTGGGATCTGAGGAGCTGACACTTTGTGCCCTCAAACAAGGACATCTCTCAGGACAGCTGGGTTGAAAATCCTCCCCAGCAGAGTGTCTGCTTAACCCAAGACCACCGGGGGAAGAACTTTGTCTTTCCCACAAGTATTAACGCTGAGAAAGATTTTTGCTTCACTTTTTAACTTCAGAAGAATTTTTTCTTGGCTGTAGCTTTCCTGTTTTCTGGCTGTCTTTTTCTGATGTTCCTTTCTTGTTCCTGGGATTGCTTAGTGGAGCTACTGAGGAGTGGGATCTCTTCCAACCCATTTCATCAAAATCCTGAAAATGTGGTTCAGAGGGTTTTATTTTAAATGGAACAAGAGGGCCCCAGTGCAGTAGCCTAACAGTTAAAGTCCTCACCTTGCACACACTGGGATCCAATATGGGCACCAGTTCTAATCCCTGCAGCCCTACTTCCCATCCAGCTCCCTGCTTGTGGCTAGAAAAGCAGTCGAGGATGGCCCAAAGCCTTGGGACCCTGCACCCGTGTGGGAGACCTGAAAGAACCTCCTTGCTCCTGGCTTCAGATCGGCTCAGCTCCAGCTATTGTAGCTACTTGGAAAGTGAATCATCGGACTGAAGATCTTCCTCTCTGTCTCTCTTCCTCTCTATATAATGGACTTTCAAATAAAAAATAATTTTTTAAAAAATGGAATAAGAGTGTAGTGTCATAGCAGGTTAAACCACTGTCTGTGATGCTGGCCTCTCAGGTGGACACTGATTCGTGTCCCAACTGTTCCATTTCCTTTTTTTTTTTTCAAAGATTCATTTATTTTTATTTGAAAGATCACATTTGCAGAGCAAGAGAGACACTCTCCAAATAACTGTAGTGGCCAGAGCTGAGCCTATCCAAAGCCAGGAGCCAGGAGCTTCCTCTGGGTCTCCCATGTGGGTGCAGGGTCCAAAGGGCCATCCTCGACTGCTTTCCAGGCCACAAGCGGGGAGCTGGAAGGGAAATGCAGTAACCGGAACACAAACTGGCGCCCACGTGAGATCTCAATGTTTGTAAGGTGAGGATTTAGCTATTGAGCCATCACACTGGGTCCTGTTCCACTTCCAGCCCAGCTCCCTGCTGTTGGCCTGGGAAGAGGAGTGGGAAACAGCTCAGGACCTTGTGCCACTGAACTCACGTGGGAGACCTGGATGGAGCACCTGACTTTCTGCTTTGGCTTGGCCCAGCCCCAGCCATTGGGGTCATCTAGGGAGTAAACCAATGGATGGAAGATCTGTCACATTATCTCCATAACTGACTTTCAAAACAAACAATCTTCAAAAACAACAACTGAAAAAGCATAAATATGAGAAACACAGGGCCACAAGCACTCCCTGGTGTTTCACTGAAGTATGAAAGTGTAAGACTCTGTGGGGTGCCTCAGCTCAAGATGCTCACAGGAGTGCGTGGGTGGTCTCCCCTCCCACCACAGCTGTGCAGGGACGGTCAGCACCTGTTGCCTTCCCTTTGGGCACAGGGAGTGCTTTCAGGGCAAAAGGAGCAGCAGGGATCTAAGTACAGCCCCTACGAGCCTGCCCAGGCAACCTCCCGAAGGCCCCCTGTCAGCTGCACCGCGCAGGCCTCACTGTAGCACAGCCCACTGATCATCTGCTTCATGTCCAGCGGCTGCTTCTCCTCCCCCTGCACCCGCTGTCCAGCGATTCCCAGGTAGCCTGCCCGCCCCAGCCTGAGACAATGGCTGTGCTGAGCACACAGCGCCCAGGAGGTCCCAACTTTGCCTAGAGCCCTGTCCCTGGATTCCCTCACCCTGCCCTGCTCCTTCTAACTGGGATACACCACCGTCCCCCGCCCCCAGGGCTGGCTGGCTCTTGTCCTTTCTGTCCATCGGTCTTTAGCCCCAACATCAGCAACAGCTGAGGCAAGGGCCGGGTTCTCCAACATTCCCTCCCACCCACACACACACACCTTGCATCTCTCGTCTCCATTTCTGTGAGCATATGCAAGGGATCCGAAATCAAAGTATCCCGGGATGTGAGTAGGAGGGATCCCCGGCTCTGGCCAATCCCAGGACTCACCAGGGTGTCGGCAGGCCCTGGAGCCACAGCACCAGCTCGGGGCATGATGGGAGGGTGAGCATCCAAGGGCAGCCTGCTAACCATGCAGGCCTCAGGCACCAGCAACGGTGGGCTCCACTGATCTGAGAGAGACACACATGGGACCAGGAGAAAGGAGAGGGGGGCACACCCGGATGGCAGCAGGGTCTAGGGACGCGGCAGTGCAAGCACCCTTAACTCCACACCCTGGGCTGGACCTGGAGGCTCACTGTCCCTTTCCCCCGTACGACACTGACCTAGTTGAATGGAGATGAGCCCCACGGTGGGCTCAGCTGTCCTCTGCATCCCATCCAGGATCCCTGCCTCATAGACAACTTCATAGAGGGCCGGAGAGCTGGGGGGCTGCGGGGCAGGTGGACTGTCGGAACAACCAGGGTCCTCGGAGATGCCGCTGTCGCTGCCTGGAGAGGCCTCCGAGCAGTAGACCTCATTGGGATCAATAAAAATCTTCAAGCAGTCTTCAGGCTCATTCTCTTGAAGTCCCTACAAGAGGAAAGAGTAAGTCCTATCTGATGTCACACTCAGATCCTCCAAGCTTCAATTTCATTCCTTTCTCAGCCTGATGCGATTGTAACAACCCTTGTCTATTTTCTGGTCTCTGGTTTCAGGGGTCTCCCCCCAACTTAGAGAGGACACCTCTTGGGGGTTCTTACCACGGAGTCCTGTTTCACCCCCACCTCACCCCTCTTCACTCACATGGCCATGGCCCCCCGTAGACTCCCAGCCTGGCAGGCCCTGTTCCTGCAGCCTGGTCCCCGGCGCCTCGGAAGGAGGACAGTGGAGGCCCAGCTCCAGGAAGGACCCTGTAGAGAAGACATCTTCTGGGGGCTCCAGCCAGGTGTCCAGCAGATCAGGGGCGCTGAGGTCCATGCCTCTGTGGGAAAGCCACGAGAGTAACACCAAAGGTGCATGGGTGGGTGATGGCTGCCCTCCCCCCTTAATTGTTAGGCTCCTCCATTAGCTCTGCCAGTATCCCCCCTCGCCCACCTGCGTAGCCCCCTCACCCGTCATCCGGCGATCTCACTGGGACAGTTCAGGCTGGGACAAACAAGCCCCTTGGGGATTAACCTGTTGTTCCCAAGAGAGCCCAGCCCTGCCAGCCCAGCCCAGCCCGCTGACTGCCCCAAACACTACACCTATTCTTTCTTCCAGGATCTCGTATCCTGGTCCTGCCCAGCCAAACTCCGCCCCCAGCTTTAACACGGACAGCGGATTGCACCTGGCTCCAAGCCACCTCAGGGCCCGGAGGGAGGGGATTTGGGGTCACCTCATTCTGAATTCTGTAGGGTTACAGAGAGCCACGTTCTCTCTGCCTCAGTTTTTGCAGGCAGTGGGACCTGTCCCTGAGGATTTGGTTTCTCCCAGGGGAGACTAGAGACGGCCAGGCCGGGGTGCAGGAAGGTTGGATGTTTAAACTCCAGTGATTACTTTTACGAGAAGACTGTCCACAAAAGCTTTTAGGAGGAGACGGGCCTGGGCTTAGCTTGGCCCCGCTCCCCACACTAATGTCCCGATTGGACGCTCAGGAGAGGTTTTTGAGGGGCAAGGCATCGGGCCAGTGGCATTACCCTCTCAAGGCTGCTCTGCCGTAACTGGTCAGACGACTGGAGAAGGGTCACAGTATGTATTTGTTGGGCGGGAATTGTGTTTCACAGGACCGAAGGGCGGGGTTAGGAACCGGAAAGTAACATTGTAGGGAAGTTGGCAGAAACTTCGGGTACTGTGGGAAGGAGTGCCCTGTGAGGGATTTGCCCAGCACATAACCCTGAAGCGCAGGTTATCGGCAAGGCGGGGAGGAAGTAACCTGTTGACCCAAGGCTGGTGATGAGGCCTTGGCTCTTCGGGCGGAAAGCTTTTCCGGGTCGGAACCTGCTCACGTTGCTGTGGATAGCAGCCAGCCGTGTTGCCACGTTCCCCGGCCTCTGCAAGGGCCCAGGGACTTGGGTCGTGTACAACGACCAGCAACGTCTGTGCACCATTTATAAAGTGTTTTCATAAGCTGTGTTTTCTGCTCATCCACAACAACCCTGCACCACACAGAGACTGCAACATTTTGCTGCTTTTAGGAAAAAGGAGACAGGTCCATGACTCTGAGGTACTGACTGCAAAATTGAGGCTTTGGAAGCCTTGATGTCTTATGGTCCAGGGACTCGCTTGGAATAAAACAGTGGAGCTGCACTGAGAGCCGTGTGATGATGTCGCTTCCCTGTCTCCAACTTCAGATGAAAGAACTGGATGAGCAAAATAGGAAACTTCAGATTATCGATTTGGAATTTCTACTGGTATTGATTACCCTCAGGAGAAATTCTAATTTTTTAAAAAAAGATTTGTTCATTTTTATTGGTAAGGCGGGTATACAGACAGGAGGAGACACAGAGAGCAGGAGATACAGAGAGGAAGATCTTCTGTCTGATGATTAATTTCCCAAGCGGCCACAACGGCTGAAGCTGAGCCAATCCAAAGCCAGGAGCTCTTCCAGGTCTCCCATGCGGGTACAGGGTCCCAAAGCTTTGGGCCGTCCTTGACTGCTTTCCCAGGCCACAAGCAGGGAGCTGGATGGGAAGAAGGACTGCCAGAATTAGAACCAGCGACCATATGGGATCCCAGTGCATTCAAGGTGAAAACTTTAACCGCTATACTATCATGCTGGGCCCCCTTTGTTTTTATTTTTTTAATTATTATTTTGATCATATTTACATAGTTCATGAGGGCACAAAGGGTCAAGGGCTACAGGAATCAGGAGAAATTTTTAAAAAGACTTAGTTATTTTGAATTGAAAAGTACAGTGACAGAGAGAAGGTGAGACAGGAATTCTTCCAATCTGCGAGTTAATTCTCCAGATGGACACCACTGGCCAGTGCAGCCCCAAAGCCAGGACTTTCTTCTGGGTCTCCCATGTGGGTGCAGGGTCCCAAGAACACAGGCCATCCTCCAGTGTTTTCCCAGGGAGCTGGATCAGAAGTGGAGCCTCTTAAACTCAAACCAGCAGCCCTAAGGGAAGTCTAAACTTAACTTGATACTTCATAGCACTGTCCCCCAGGAAGATTTGAACAGGTCGAGGATAAAGATGAGGACAAGAGAGCCCCGTGCCATGGCCTAGCAGCTAATGTCCTCGCCTTGAATGTGCCGGGATCCCATATACGTGCTGGTTCTAATCCCGGCAGCCCTGCTTCCCATCCAGCTCCCTACCTGTGGACTGGGAAAGCAGTCAAGGATGGCCCAGGGCCTTGGGATCCTGCACCCGCCTGGGAGGAAGTTCCTGGCTCCGGGTTTCAGATTGGCTCAGCTCCGGCTATTGCGGACACTTGGGAGTGAATCATCAGACGGAAGACCTTGCTCTCTGTCTCTCTTCCTCTCTCTACATGTATATATATGACTTTGAAATAAAAATAAAATATGTCTTTTTAAAAAAAGATGAAGACAAGATCTGATACCAAACACCTATTCTATGTCAACATTATCATGTGTGTGAGTTTAATAGCAGCTCATAACACAAACGTTAACTTTCTGAGTTGTTAAAGCAAGTTCCATGACCTAAGTCCATACAGTTCACCCTGTATGCAGCCATCTGACTTCCTCAACTAATCGGAGTGTGTTGTTCCTGCTCATTTTTCTGTGTCCTGCTCAAGGAGTGAGGAGATAGGCTTCCTAGACTAGGGCAGATGGGCCTGGCGCGGTAACCTAGTGGCTAGGGTCCTAGTCTAATGCAGAGGTGTAAGGGAAGCAGATTGTTGGTGGTTACACACAAGAACTCCCTGCAGCCTTAAGTGCGACGATGATTCAGTGACAAAGCCAGTCGTCTCTGATCCTATGGGACCTGGAAGGAAACTGTCACAATCTGCTGCTTCAACTTCCCCTTTTCCCAGATTTGTCAAGCTCTGAGGAGGAAAAACAGCCGGCCTAGAATCACACATCAAGCTAAGGCAATCAAGAGGCCTGTCTTTAACATGGTGACCGCAAGTAACAACAGCGTACTATATTCTTGAAAATTGCTAATCGATTCTAAGTGTTCCCATTGCAAATCAATGATATATACACGGGTCAATACATGTTAATCAGCTTGATTGAGCTAATCTCCAGCATGTGTATATATTTTTGAAAACATCACTTTGTATGCCATTAACATACACCATTAAAAAATTATTATTATTTTTGTAATTGGAAAGGCAGACATACAGAGAGAAGAGACAAAGATCTTCCATACGCTGATGCACTCCCCAAGTGACCACAATGCCTGGAGCTACACTGATAGGAAGCCAGGAATCAGAAGTCTCTTCAGGGTCTCCCACGTGGGTGCAAGTTCCCAAGGCTTTGGACCATCCTCCATTGCTTTCCCAGGCCACAAGCAGAGAGCTGGATGGGAAGTGGGGTCACAGGGATTAGAACCAGCGCCCATATGGGATCCAGGCACATGCAAGGTAAGGACTTTAGCTGCTAGGCTACCTGGCTGGGCTATTTTTTTTTTCTTAAGATTTATTTATTTTTATTGCAAAGTCAGATATACAGAGAGGAGACGAGACAGAGAGGAAGATCTTCTGTCTGATGATTCACTCCCCAAGTGACCGCAACATCCGGTGCTGTGCCGATCCAAAGCCATGAGCCAGGAACTTCCTCTAGGTCTCCCGCGCGGGTGCAGGGTCCCAAGGCTTTGGGCCGTCCTCCACTGCTTTCCCAGGCCACAAAGCAGGGAGCTGGATGGGAAGTGAAGCTGTCGGGATTAGAACCGGCTCCCATATGGGATACTGGTGCATTCAAAGCAAAGAGTCTAGCTGCTAGGCCATGGCACCGGGTCCAGGCCTTTTTTTTTTTTTTTAATTAAAAGGCTAGAACAGCAATGATTGAGGGTCAATGATGATCCGGTTTGACTTACATTTCAGTAATTGAGTCCTGTAGATTTCTTTTCCTGGATCCTCTCTTTCTTTCTTCTCTTTTTGAAGATTTATTTTTATTCTAAGGCAGATGTTTAAATTTTTAATTTATTCTGATGTTGTTTACATTGTTGACAAGGTTGTACATCTGTGAGGACCATTGAATAGGGTGGAAAGGGTTGAAATATGGGAGAAGGGATTGGAGCAAATGCTTCCAACTTTCCTCTCTTTTCTCTTGCATCTGAGGGGAGGGGAAGGGATCCATTCCCAGTTGTCAAACCACCCAGCGTAGGGGATGGCCACTTGCTATTGTCTTAGATGAACTATGGGAAAGAATATTCTGAGAGTATTGCTGGAGTGGTCTTGAGAGTTCCATGATTCTTGCTTTTGCTGTTCCAAGACTGAGAAAATCCTTCCAAGATCCATTGGCTGGCAGTCTCCTAATGCATCTACTCACCCACTCTTGCTGCCACCTTGCTGACTCAGCCAGGAGAGTTGTCTAACCTACTCTGCTCTCCATTTTCTTACATGGCACTCAACATCCTCTGTAGGCCTAAATGAGCTGGCTCTCTTGCTCCCCTCAAGCACCTAGGCATGCCATGCCATCCACTGAATAGGCATCAGCAACCAAGGAGGCCAATCCTGACACATGAATTCCAAGGCTGGATCTCAAATTCTATGATTCTCCCTATAGCTGGAGTTTTGAGTCCAGTGTTCCAGTTGGGGAGTGCCCCAAGAAACCTCACCTGGGGTGACCCCAGATCTTTTTTCTTCTTCTTTCTTAATGGAAAGTAGGGGCCTGACCCAAGTGTAGTGGTTAAAGTACTCGCCTTGCACGTGCCATAATCCCATATGGGTGCTGGTTCTAATCCTAGCAGCCCTGCTTCCCATCCAGCTCCCTGCTTGTGGCCTGGGAAAGCAGTCAAGGATGGCCCAAAGCCTTGGGACCCTGCACCCATGTGGGAGACCCGGAGGAAGCTCCTGGCTTCTACCTTTGGATTGGCTCAGCTTCAGCTGTTGTGGCCACTTGGGGAGTGAATCATTGGACAGAAGATCTTCCTTTCTGTTTCTCCTGCTCTCTGTATATCTGACTTAGCAATAAAAATAAAATAAATCTTTTTTTAAAAAAAAATGGAAAATGGAATCTACAAACAGGAGAGACAAAAGAGAAAGATCTTTCGTCCACTGGTTCTTCTGTACCCATACCCATCTCTCACTCACCAGTGGGAGCAGTGGCCCAGCAGGGTAGCCTTCACACCAGGTTTGCTCCCCTCCTGGGGTCCTGCATGTGCTGCTGGGTGCTCCAGCCATGTCTGGCATGGCCCATCTCACCTCAGCATTTGCCAGTGGGTGCTGCAGTCTGGTTCTACCCGTCCTGCCTTTAGTCCCAGCACATGTTGGTCCCCTATTAGACCAGCTCCCAGTCGCAGATCTCATGCATACCTATGGGTGTTTGGATCAGCCTGACTTGGTCCACATCCAGTTCCAACCTTTACTAGCAGGTACTCTGGCCTTGCCAGACCAACCCATACTCGTTCTAGCGCTCTTTGGGTGGGTGCTGCACCCCAGCCCTGCCTGCCCCACTCCAAGATCCTGCTCACCAACCCACAAACTGACTAACAAGTGGAGCCAACTTGTCTGGTCTGGTCTACTCCTCTCATATTCCCCAGTGGGAACTACAGCCCACCAAGGTAGTTTCCCCACCTGGCTCACTCCCAGACCAAATCTCACGCATGTCAGGGGGTGCTATGTCCCTACTCAGTATAGTTTGTGTGCTGGTTATGTATGCTGGTGGATGTTGTGGCCAGGCCCACTCCACACACAATTCTTGGGTGGGCTTGTGGGTGCTTTAGCCTGGACCAGCCCGGCCTGATCCCAATCCCAGTTCTCATATGTGCTAGGTGAGTTCTGTGGTCATGCCTAGCTCATCCCGTCACCACCCCCAGCTCTCAAGCAAACTGGTAGGTATTGTAATTCCACAGGGGTAATCCCCCCAGAATCTGTTCCCAGACCTGGTTCTCTCATGTGCTGGTTAGTGTCATGGCCCAGCCTAAAGTGGCCCCACCCTTGGTCTGACACTCACTCGTGGGTACTGTGGTCAAGCTCTGCCAGGAAGGCCCTCAGTCCTAGTTTTCAAGTGTATTGGTGGTTGATACCAACCAGCCAGCTCAGGACTCCCATGTGGGCAGGTGCACTGGTGTGACCCAGAAAAGTCCTCTTGTTTCCCTCCTCCAAACTGCCAGGTCTCAGCCCCCTTATTTACCTGCAAGTGCAGCAGCCTGGTTGGTGGAAGTCATTCCTTATCTGCAAGAAGTCTCTCAAGGGTCCTCCGTCTTATACATCCCTTGCCCACTTCCTTGAGACATTTACAGCCCCCAGCCCACAAGCCTGATCCTCTGGTGGTATGGCATGCTGGCTGAGGCCATGCATGCTGGTGTGTGGCCCGTGTCTGCTGGTGTGTTGGCATCTGCTCCCCATATATCTTAAAGATTTATTTCTATTATTTTTTTTATTGGAAAGGTGGATATAAAGAGAGGAGAGACAGAGAGATCTGTCCGGGCCCTCCCCATATATCTTAAAAAAAAAAAAGTGCCTGGCACGATAGCACAATGGTTAAAGTCCTCACTTTGCACGTGCCAGGATCCCATATGGTCGCTGGTTCTAATCCCAGCGGCCCTCCCTCCCATCCAGCTCCCTGTTTGTGGCCTGGAACAGTGGTTGAGGATGGCCCAAAACCTTGGGCCCCTGCACCCACATGGGAGACCTGGAGGAAGAGCTCCAAGCTCCTGGCTCCTGGCTTCAGATTGGCTCAGCTCAAGCTGTTGTGCTCACTTGGGGAGTGAACCAACAGATGGAAGATCTTCCTCTCTGTCTCTGTATATCCACCTTTCCAATAAAAATAAACAAATCTTAAAAAAAAAAAAAAAAGAAACCAGAGCCTATGGGACTGTATCACACACACACAAAAAAAAGCATAGACTATAGAATAGGCAATTGTGCTGCACATTGGTATGATTAACACACATTTGGCATTAACCAGGCCTAGAATACAAGCCAACTATTAGCTGCTTTTCTCCCAGCAGTGTAACACTTGCTTAGGTACAAACAAGGCAGCCTAGGCATTTACCTACAGCTGGGGTGAAAGGCAGATTTATAGAGAAAAGGAGACACAGATTTTTCATCCACTAGTTCACTTATCAAATGGCTGCAGCTGCCAGAGTTGAGCTGATCCAGAGCCAGGAGCCAGGAGCTTCTTCCAGGTCTCCCACACAGGTGCAGGGTACCAAGGCTTTGGGCTGTCCTTGACTGCTTTCCCAGGCCACAAGCAGGGAGCTGGATGGGAAGTGAAGCAGCTGAGACACAAACTGACATCTCTTATGGATGTGGGCACTTATAGCAGAGGATTAGCCTGTTGAACCATTATACTGTCTCTGCCCTTGCCCACTGTCTTTAGAAGTCCTCACCCCCCCCCCCCCAGAAAGAAGAGTTTTGTCTGAGAATCACCAGGTCCTTTGGTGAACAAAGATTTTGGTTTGACTTTATGACCAGTATTAGTCAGAGCTCCCTTTAAAAACTTTTTTTTCAAGATTTATTTATTTTTATTGGAAAGGCAGATATACGGATAGGCAGAGAGGAAGAGAGGAAGACCTTCCATCCCATGATTCACTCCTCAAGTAACCACAATGGCCAGTGCTGTACTGATCCTAAGTCAGGAGCCAGGAGCTCTTCCAGGTCTCCCATACGGGTGCAGGGTCCCAAGGCTTTGGGCCATTCTCAACTGCCTTCCGAAGCCAACAAGCAGGGAGCTGGATGGGAAGTGGAGCAGCCGGGATTAGAACTGGCGTCCATGCAGGAACCCAAGGCCTGCGTTCAAGGTAAGGACCTTTTCTTTTTAAATTATTATTATACTTTTGACAATCTTTACATAGTTAATTAGGGTCCAAAGGTTCAAGGGCTACAGGAAAGTGGGTAAGACTATCATTTCCACACATTTTTTTCCCTATATCTGGGGTAAAGGGGGAGGTAAAGGGAGAAGCCCCACCCAGTCTCCCACCCATCCCAGGTCCCTGATGTGGGGCATGCTCCGAGGGTCTTGCTCAAGTGGTTTTGATAGTTCAACAGTTATGAATTGCTGCCAATCTCGGAAGGTGAGGACTGCTAGGCCACCTTGACCGGCCCTGAAAAGTTTCTTTTGTCCTTTTTCCATCTCATAAGGCAAGAAGAAGCTTCTCATGGTGTGGTTATGGGCCCAGGGACAGTGTCGGTCCTCACCTGAAAATCACCACGGTGCTTTCAAGGAATAGAAATCAGAAAGGAGGCTAGTGGGGCTGGAGGGAGAGGAGGTAGGAGTGCCGGGGGAGGCCGCCTGAGTGGGCCTGGAGCCCGGAGGCCTGGGGGCGGATGGTGAGTGAGGCTCTTTCTGCTCTGGAGGGGCTTCCTGCAACCCCAGGGCGGGTCCCACGTCTCCCTCTCCCCCTCAGAGAGGATACCGGTAGTCAAGAAGGGGTGATTTTCCATCTCTCTCCTCCTTTTCTAATTCTGGCTATGCCTTTTCTTTCTTGAGAGAAATCAGGACAGGAAGTTCGTCTTAAGAAGGGAGCTCTTCCCTCCCCCCGCAGGCGACACATGGGGGAGAAGAGATAAGATAAGGAAACTTAGGGCCAAGGCCAGGCAGATCGCCGCCCTGATGTGATGTGGAGCGGAAAACCCAGGAATGCGGGACAGGGATGCGAGTCCAGCCCTGCCCGAGGGGTCTCTAGTTCCCTGACATAAAAAAAATAAATAAATAAAACACAACTCCACAACAACAAAGTCTGTGCAGACCGGAGTGCTCCGGCACGGCAGCCTCGGCGACGGCACCCCGGGCCCGCAGCCCTCCCGCTCCCAGCTCATGCTCTCCAGCTCGCAGGCTCCGCCTTCTTTTTTCCTCGGATTTCTGATTGCTCCGAAGTCGTGTCACTCCGGGATCCGCCCCGCCCTCCCGGCTCCGTCATTGGCCGCCGCGCGTGGGGACGCGGCGGCTGCGGGGGGAGGGGGCGCTGAGGCGGGGGCGGGAATTCCCGACCGGAGGCCGGAACCCAGCGGATACTATGTCGGGAGACCCTGGCGAGGTGAGTGCGGGGTCCCGGGGCGCCGGCGAGGCTCCCGCGGCCTGGGAGCCCGAGCCCCCACTCCCGGGCGCCTTCCCGCGACGCTGGCGGCCTCGGACCCCGCCTCCCGGAGCGCAGACGGCCAGACGCCGCCCTCAGTGCCCGCTCCTCCTGTCCCGGGACCCCGGGACCCCTCAAGCCCCTGGTTTTGGCCCCGGGTCCCGACGTCTCGGCCTGCAGTGTGGAGCTCTCGCTGTCTGCCCTGGGGCGGGGTGGGGGGTGATCGTGCTGGGGTGCTGGGAGCGAGAGTGGGAGCCCCCTCGCCAGCCCCGCTCGCCCGGCCCAGCCGCTCTGCACGGAGTTTCCTATGATCCTGTGATTTCTTCCCACAGCCTCCAGCCCTGTTGGCTTCATTTCCTCCTTCCTGGCTCCTGGGTTGCTTAGGAAACCCTCCACACCCACCCCTCAGCTCCGGGTCCTAATTGGAGGCTCCCCCTTAGCTTCTCTGGGGGGCCTCAGAGGCAAGGGGATAACGAGGTCTTCTCTGGTGCCTCTTGTGCCTTAGTTGCCCCCTTGCTGGCTTCCTAAGGGAGCCTCTTGGGAAAGATCAAGTCTGGAAGCAACGAAGAGTGTTCCTGGAACGGAGAGGATGAGTCACCCCGAGTTGGGGAAGGTCACTGGGTGGCCGGTTGGCCGCGGGAGGGAGTTGGAGCCTGCTGACCAGGCTTCCTCTTCCTGGGCCCCCATCCTTCCTTCCTTGCACGGCTGGCTGTTCACCGCCCATTTGGATCTCATCTTTCAGATCTGAGAGTCCCGGCACAGAAGAGCGCGATCAAGCATGGGGCCCTGGGGAGAGCCGGGGCTCCTGGTGTGGCGGCCTGAGGCTGTGGCCTCGGCACCCCCAGTGCCGGTGGGGCTGGAGGTGAAGCTTGGGGCCTTGGCACTGCTGCTGGTGCTCACCCTCTTCTGCAGCCTGGTGCCCATCTGTGTGCTGCGCCGGCCTGGAGCCAGCTATGAGGCCTCAGGTGAGCCACCGTGGCTGCTGGCGGAGAGGGGGCTGAGGTGGGGTGGGGGCCTGCCTGGGGCCTGGAAGGGATCCCTCGCCTCACTCCCTCCTCTCCACACTGTGCTTTCCTTCAGCGTCCCGTCAGAAAGCCCTGAGCCTCGTGAGCTGCTTTGCAGGGGGCGTCTTTTTGGCCACCTGTCTCCTAGACCTGCTGCCCGACTACCTGGCTGCCATAGATGAGGCCCTGGCAGCCTTGCATGTGACGGTGAGCGCTTACCTGCAGCATGTGACCCTGTGTGGTGAGGGGGCGGGGGATGTATCCAATCAGATACTTCTGGTGTATGGATTCTGGTGTGCATGAATCTGTTCAGCTGTCAGCTCTGCGACTGTGTGAAATATAATCACATGCTTGAATTGTGATCATGTAAATACTCTTTTTTTTTTTTTTTTTAATTTAAGGGTTATAACTTTCTCCGTGTCCCCCACCCATCCAGTAGCCCTGTGTACCCTTTGAGACAGTGTGTGGAACCTCATTATTACGTGTGTGACTTGCTTGTATGTTTCTCAGTCCCAGTTGTAGGCTCCACAAATCATTTTCGCTCCCTTGCTAGGTTCCTAGAGGTCCCTGTAGGCCTGCCAAGGGTTGGAAGCAATCTCCAAGGGCTGGGTGTTGTGGATTCAGAAGGGTTTAGCTCCAGGAAGTGGGGTGTGGGGAACAATCAAAACTCAAGGCTTAGGCAAAGGCCCCGCTGTAGGAAAAAAATGTGACAGTTGGGTAGTGGTATGGGAAAGTCACCCTGGGTTCCCTCCCCGAGATTAAGGAAGTGACACTGGGTAGAATCCTCTAAGGGTCTGAGGCTGAGTCACCTGTGGCTGTATTCACTGGCCAGCTTGCCCCCGTGGCAGTGTGAAACTCCGTCTCGGCATGTGGGACGGGGCAGGAATGGGTCAACCTTAGCCTGGCCGCAACAGAGGCTTCATTTCTAAAAAAGATTTATCTATTTATTTAGTTTAAAGATTTATTTATTTTATTGGAAAGGCAGATATACAGAGAGGAGGAGAGACAGAGAGGAAGATCTTCCGTCCGATAATTCACTCCCCAAGTGAGCGCAACAGCCAGTGCTGTGCTGATCCGAAGCCAGGATCCAGGAACTTCTTTCCGGGTCTCCCATTTCGGTGCAGGAACCCAAGGCCTGTTTTTCCAGGCCACAAGCAGGGAGCTGGATGGGAAGTGGAGCTGCCGGGATTAGAACCAGCGCCCATATGGGATCCTGGCCCACATAAACCGAGGACCCTAGCCTCTAGACCACCGCCCTGGGCCCACAACGGACACTTCAAACTGGGAGTAGTATTGCCCCCTCCGGAAAACACTTCAATAGTGTCAGACTGTTTTTGACTATCACAACTAGAGAAGGAGCCATTGTTGTTCTTTCCTTTTTTAAAGAATATTTATTATGTATTTGAGAGTCAGAATTACACAGAAGAGGGTAAGACAAGAGAGATCTTCTACCCACTGTTTTACTCTCTACATGGCTGTAACAGCCAGGGTTAGGCCAAGCCAGATCCAGGAGCCAAGAACTTTCCTCTGGGTCTCCCATGTGAGTTCAGGGACGCAAACACTTGGCTCATCTGCTGCTTTTCTAGGCACATTAGCAGGGAGCTGGGCTGGAAGTGGAGCACTTGGGACATTAGCAGGTGCGCCTGAGGGGTGCCGGCATCAAAGGGCGTGGTTTTGCTCACTGTGCCACAACACTGGTCCTTGAGCTGTTCTTGGTACTGGTGTTTGATGGGTGGAGGTTAGAGAAGCTGCTAAGCAGCCTGCAGTGCACAGCACAGCTCCTCTCTTAAGGAAATCTCTGCTCTCAGATGTTAGCAGTGCAGGCTTTGGGCAACAAATAACACTGAGTGTGTTGTCTGATTGTGTCTGTGACAGCAAGTAACTCAGTAACTCAGTCTTGAAGTGACTGCACGTGGCCCTGGGTCTGTGTGGGACTCTGTGCTGCTGGGCTTTTACAGTGTCCACACCAAATTCCTCCTCGCCATTCTTGTCCTGAGCTCCTGTTGTTCCTTCTGTCTACAGCTCCAGTTCCCCTTACAAGAGTTCATCTTGGCCATGGGCTTCTTCCTGGTCCTGGTGATGGAACAGATTACACTGGCGTACAAGGAGCAGTCGGGGTCGCCACCTCGGGAGGAAACACGGGCCCTGCTGGGAACAGTGAATGGCGGGCCACAGCATTGGCATGATGGGCTGGGGGTCCCCCAGGCAAGTGGAGCCCCAGCAGCCCCCTCAGCCCTGCGCGCCTGCGTGCTGGTCTTCTCTCTGGCCCTGCACTCTGTGTTCGAGGGGCTGGCCGTGGGGCTGCAGCGGGACCGGGCTCGGGCCATGGAGCTGTGCCTGGCTTTGCTGCTCCACAAGGGCATCCTGGCCGTCAGCCTGTCCCTGCGGCTGCTGCAGAGTCGCTTGCGGGCACAGGTGGTGGCTGGCTGTGGGGTCCTCTTTTCCTGTATGACACCTCTGGGCATTGGGCTGGGTGCAGCTCTGGCAGAGTCAGCTGGACCCCTGCACCAGCTGGCCCAGTCCGTGCTGGAGGGCATGGCAGCTGGCACTTTCCTCTACATCACCTTCCTGGAAATCTTGCCTCAGGAGCTGGCCACTTCTGAGCAGAGAATCCTCAAGGTCATTCTGCTTTTGGCCGGCTTTGCTCTGCTCACTGGCCTGCTCTTTATTCAAATCTAGGAGGCTTCAAGAGAGGGGCCAGGGAAGCCTGAGGAGCAGGTACCCCTGCTCCCTCACCCCCAGTAGACTGGGACTAGGAAGGAATGAAGAAGGGAGGGCTCGAGGACTAAAGAGTTTTCCAGGAGGTAGGGAAGGAGGCTTGGGGACCACCTGACCAATAGGAAGGCAGTGGGCAGGCAGGAGGCTGGCCTGAGAGAAGGTCAAGTCTTTAGGTATAGGATCAAAGGACATTAGGATCAGAGGATTGCCCTGGTTGGCAAGGGACCACGTGTAGGGTCAACTGACACTGCGGAAGCCCACGATAGGCCCCCAGCTGCCCACGTGCCAGATTCGGTGCCCTGTGGGTTCTAGCCCATTTCTATCACAGCACCTGCCATTCGGAGGAGACTTCTCACTTTCATTATCTCCTCCTTATACACGTTTCCCTCTTTCCTTCTCCCCAGGGGTTTGTGCCAAAGGGTCTCTCCATGCCAGTTTTGGTACCTTCTGGGGCCTCTCCAGTTGTGCCCACTCTTCTATGTGTAAAGTGCCAAATAACTCCTCTCCCTCTTTGTAAAGCACAGTGATGTGGCAGTGATCCCTGCCCAGCACCTCAATGGATTGGATCTGCTTTGTTCTGGTCCAGATCCTCAGTGGAGTGGGGTGAGGGGTGTGCAGAAATGTTTGCTAGTGGGTAAATCAGGGGAGGATGGGTGAGCTGGGGCTACTACCACTGCTGCATCTTGGAAATGTGGGACATGGACATGGTGCCCCATGCCCAAATGATAAACACTGAGCTACCACAACATTTTTTAATAGCTACGTAGCCCGAATGGGTGAGGAACAAATGCCTATCCACCCGGGTTATTTTTGGGGAGGGAGGGATAGGCATAGGGCTGTATTCTGTAGAATCTATTTTACTAACTGACTTGTTTTGGGACATGTTACCCAAATAAAATGTTTATATACATCTGTACTGTCTTTGCTTCGTTTGTCTTGGGAAAAGGGTTGCTGTGTGACCCCTGGAGAGAACCCATGTCCCAGATGGTTACAGGTGTTTGAGATACTTATTCTCACTGTTTTCCCTCAGGCCCCAATAATGTCCTTTTTTCTCTCTCTCCTTTTGTTTCTTTTCCGGCCCCTCCCTGTCTCCACTTTTCTTTTCCCGTTTCTTTTCCTTTCCTTAATCCTGCGCTCGGACTGGTTGAGAACTACGTCTCCCAGCTTGCTCAGCTCAGGGAGTAGCCAAGTGGGTGGAGGAAGGCCCCCAGTTCCCGGAGTCAGCAAGGCTGCTGGGATATGGAGTCCGTTTCCTCTCGGTAGTACGTAACCAATGGTTTGTAGGAGTCACGTAAACAAACTTCAATTCCCGGCGGGCTCCGCGCACAGCAGGTCAGGACTAGGCTGGGGCCGGGTTCGCGGTGCTGGCTGAGGCGGCGGCGGCTACGGCTGACAGAGCCGGGCCGGAGCCCGCGGCAAAGGCCGCGGCTGGTACTGGGAAGGTGGCGGGGAAGGACGGGGCAGGAAGATGGCGACGTCAGGGGCGAACGGGCCCGGCTCGTCCACCGCCTCAGCTTCCAATCCGCGCAAGTTTAGTGAAAAGATCGCGCTGCAGAAGCAGCGTCAGGCCGAGGAGACGGCGGCCTTCGAGGAGGTGATGATGGACATCGGCTCCACCCGGGTGAGGGGCCGCGCTGCGGAGCGGGAGCCAAGTGGAGTAATTCACCGAGCGGAGAGCCGAGAGGCGGGGCGGGGCGGGAGCCTGAGCCCAGGAGGTGGACCCGGGCACGGGCAGCGGGCGCCGCCGTCTGGGAAGCGTGCGGGTTGAGGGCGACGGGCAGGAAGACGGCTGTGATGGGGGGGAGACGGAAACACTGGAGAGGGGTTGGGGTGTGAGAGCGAGAAGGAGACAAGTGTAGGAGGCAGGAGTGCGCGGAGAGGGGAGATGGTCCCCCGAGGTCTGGTGGAAAGAGGACGTGAGCGCTCCTGGTGCATCCCTGATGGAGTCCCCTCTGACGTCGGATTATGGGTTGAGAGGCTTGCTAATCCGGCCCCTCTTGGACACTGATGCCTCTGCCCAGTTGTGCCATCCGCGGTCGCTCGGGTATCTCCAGGAAAGGGCCCCTAGAGTGGTGTGAACCAGCAATGCTGACTGTAGTGGGGGCAGGAAGTCCCCTCCTGCGTCCCGTCCCTTTGCTTCCTTTTTCAAATACTTCTTGTGGTTTCCTGATGCGACGGGAGGTGAGGTCCATCGCTCACAGACTGGGGCGAGGTGTTTTGGGCCCTAAAGGAGATGTAGGGCTTTGAGTCCCTCAAACCAGGTAGATTGTGTGGGATGATGAGATGACTGGCCAGGCCTCCTTGGGTGATGGCTGATCGTGGGTCAGTTTGTGGGGTACCTGGATCTTCCAGGTGCGGGGAATATTCATTCCAGAAGCTTCCCGAAGCCCCCTTGGCCTTGATTTCTTGCTTCTCAGGGCTGAATGTCACAAGCGGCAAGGGTTGGGGATTTGCCCTGCGGGCATGCAGTCCTGTTGTAGGGACATTTTCTCAAAACAGCAGGTGAAGATCTTGCAGCCATCCTTCCTGGCAGAGCTGGCAGGAATGTACCGGGAGAGGGTAGGACACACCTAGCCCATGCCCACGCTGTTCCTGTGATTATAGCAGTCTGAACTGTGATTGCATTTTTGTGTGTATTTCCCTTGGGTCTGTTTGGGTCTTTTTGGTGTTGTTTCCTTTTCATGTCTCTTGGGACTATGTGCCCTAGTTTGTGGGAGTCAGAGAAAGTTAGGTGGTGAGGCCAATCGAACATGTACGTTTGTGTGTGCGTGCACAAACGTAACCCACCCTCACCACTTTGTGGATTGTGGCTCGCCTGGTGGCCGCTCCTCTTTAGGTGGATTGAGTGTGGTGGGTACACAAGCAAGAAGGCGGGAGGCAGGTTAGTCTCTTGTTGATGGGTCGAAGCCCTGCTGTCTGGACTGTCTGTCTGGACTGTGTTTCCAGCAGAGGCCAGGTACACCCTTGGGGCTTCTATGTGCAAACAAAGAAGAGCTACTGGAGACTCAAAGCCTGGGCATCTGTGTGGTGCCTTGGTCTCGCCAAAGACCCCTTCTCTACTCACGGTGCGGCTGCCACACAGAAAAGTCTAAGTGGACATACATGGCCAAGGCCTCGGGGGCCCAGGCTTTCTAGAGAGAGAGAAATCAGAGTCCTGGAGCTCAGCTTGTCTGCCCAGCTGGGAGAGCTCATTTGAGGCAGACATGACCATGGCCAGGGCGTCCTATATGGCTGAGAGGCTGGCATTGCCATGTATATATATATATATATACATACATACATATATACATATATATATAAAGGCAGTTATAGAGAGAGATCTTCCATCCACAAGTTCACTCCACAGCAGCCATAGCTGGACCAGTCCAAAGCTAGGAGTCAGGAACCAAGAGCTTCTGGGTCTCCCATGTGGGTGCAGGGACCTAAGCACTTGGGCTATCCTCTGCTGCTCTCTCAAGCACATTAGCAGGGAGCTGGGTTGGAGGTAGAGTAGCTGCAACATTTGTGAGACACGGTGCCTAGGGAGTGTCCCTGCCCGCCCCCCCCCCATCTGCCCTGGCCATAGTGCCGCCCCTGCCATGTGTATACTATAAGTGGTCTTGGAGTGACGCACAGGTCAGCATTGTGCTCAGTGAGCTGACTGGGCTGACCTTCTGGAACAGAATGTCGTCCCTCATGTTGGCTTTTGGCCACCAGCATGACCCTGGAAGCTCTTGGTATTGGAGTCTGCGTCTTGGCAGCCCTAGGTCCATGTCGTTGGCTGGTGGCAATGGCTGAGGCTTGGGACTGGGTACTGAGGTCTCATCAAGGGCTAGGAGAGCCCTATAGATGGAATACACGCATACCAGACTGAGGGTTGTGGTCAAATCTATCTCCTGGTGGAGATAAGGCCAGGGAGATGGCTCTGACATGGGCTGCCATGGTCTGTTGCTCCCTTTGCAACTCCCTTTCTCCAGGTTTTCCTGCTACTTTGGGGCCTTAGGATGCAGTAAAGTGTGCCTTTTGTTGTTGTTGTCTTAAAAGATTTATTTATTTTTATTGGAAAGACAGATATACAGAGAGAAGGAAAGACAGAGAGGGAAGATTTTCAGTCTGCTAATTCACTCCTCAAGTGACCACAACAGCTGGAGCTGAGCTGATCTGAAGCCCAGAGCCAGGAGCCTCCTCTGGGTCTCCCATTCGGGTGCAGGGTCCCAAGGCTTTGGGCTGTCCTCGACTGCTCTGCCAGGCCACAAGCAGGGAGCTGGATTATGGGCAGTGGAGATTAGAACCAGCACCCATATGAGATCTTGGTGCTTGCAAGGCAAGGACTTTAGCTGCTAGGTTACCATGCTGGGCCTGCACCTTTTGGTTTTGACACTGTTTTTTAGCTAAGAGAACCATGGTCCCTTGGCTCTTCCAGTCTGGGAGGTACAGGCTCTGTGGAGCCCTTGTGAGGCCGGGCAAGGGGCAGAGCCCAACGCCTGTGCTCTCTAGAGTGGCAGGGAGAGACTGGCAGTCAGGGTTCCGGGAGACCCAACGGTGGCCATGTTCTTATCATTCAGATAATTTTGAGTGCATCTGGAAAGAAAAGTAGAGGTGCCTGTTAGAGGCTGCTCCCATGCGAGCTCCTGGCAGCCCCACGGGGGCTCTGCTTCCACCCATTCCAGCCGCACAGGCTGAGCACGGGGCTGGGCCCTGCCCCTGGGCAGCGCTGTCACCCGGGAGAGCAGCCTGTACAAGGGCTAGGCAGGGTCATCTGCACCAGCTCTTGGAGGGTCTTTTTCTCAGCACTTGCTTTTCTTTTTCCTGGCAAATTTCTTTCCTTCCTCCTTCCTTCTTTCTTTCCTTGCTTTAATCGTTTATTTACTTGAAGGGCAGAAAGAGGAAAAAGCACGTCCACACATATATACACAGACCTTTCATCTGCTGGTTCACTCCACAAATCACCTCAACAGCCAGGGTTGGACCAGTCAAAGCCAGGTGTTCCACCTGGGCCACCTCCGTGGGCGGCCAGGACTCAGGAGGCACACTAGCCTAATGCTGGATCAAAGTGCAGGGTTTGAACCCGGCAACTCCAGGACAGGATGCTGATATTCCAAGGGGGGTAGCTTAGCTTGCTGCACAAAAATGCCTACCCCATCTGACAAATTCTTTCAAAGAATAGCAGCAGCAGCAGCAGATCCTGGGGACAGGGATGGCAAAGACGGCCTGAGGGTACAGTGCTCAGTTCCATGACATTGCCATTTGTCCCCCACACCTCAGTTACAGGCCCAGAAACTGCGACTGGCATACACAAGGAGCTCCCATTATGGCGGTTCTCTCCCCAACGTGAACCAGATTGGCTGTGGCCTGGCCGAGTTCCAGGTGAGCAGACAGCAGCCACGGAGGTGCTGAGGCTTTGGGCCGCGTCCCCCGCTGATTTCACCTGTCCCTCTTGGCAGAGCCCCCTCCATTCACCTTTGGATTCATCTCGGAGTACTCGACACAACGGGCTAGTGGAACGGGTGCAGAGAGACCCCCGCAGGATGGTGTCCCCGCTCCGCCGATACCCCCGTCACATATCCTTCCCAGTGGGAGGGGCCGCCAGGGTGGCGGGATGCGGGAAGGGGGAGCAGGCAGGTCATCCAGTCCCACCCTTCTCAGGAGCACTCCCCCAGAAGACCACAGCCCACTCGGGAGCAGCTGCTCCTGGGGCCATGCCTTCCTTATCTGACTGCCCCTGGCTGGCCTTGCTTTAGCATTTTCCTGGTTGCTGGAGGCAGAGCTGCCTGGTATGTCTTCTGCTAAAGGACCCTGGCCTGTCCTTCTGTCCTGTTCTTACCTTTCCATCTCAGATCTACACACTTATCTCCTCCAAGCCCTGCCCAGGCATTCTTTGATAGCCTCTAGCTTAGTTAAAGACCTGATTCCATTCTTTTCCTCCATTCC